TATATATATATATATATACATATATATATATATATATATATATATATATAAATGCCCCTTTAGGTGCTTGACACCAAAATATACTACATTTAACTAGATTTGAATGTATAATAATAAATATATATATATATATATTCTTAATTATATATTAATATAGATTATTATAAATCTTGCAACTAGGAAAATTTTAGTATGTATATCTTTCATAGAAATAAAATATCTAAATAGTATTTTTTTGCATCTTATCGTTTTTGTCTATATATAAAATTTCAATTGACACAATTATCTAAAACATACAGAATATGTATTAAATATAATATACGAAAATGGCAGTGAATTAATTCTAAGAAATAGGCCTCAAGTAATATTTTTACACTAATTAAAGAGAGCAATGTATATCATTTTAAAATATTTTTTAAATTAAATATTTTTAATAATATTTTAGATTGATATTTTTATATTTTTTTGTTCTATTAAAAAAAATAGAAAAATCTAATTATTTTTTATTTTTAATTTGAAAAAAAATAAAATTAATAATATATAATATATTAGCAAAAAACTTGATTATAAAAATTAAAAAATTTATGTAAATATATAATAATAATCTTACTTACGATTGTAATTATATTCATTTATTCATTATTTATAATGAAATTGCTTTAGTGTATGCAAATTAATCATGGGTTAATGTAACCCAATTTGTACCATTCACTTATACAAAAAAAAATGCATAAAAAATAAAGCTAATTTAATTGCAGATAACTTCATTTTAATAATTCTTTATTTTAAGCTGTATTTGTATGATTATTAGCACCACTGATAGCACTAAATAAAGCAGCGCTATTACGTTTAAAATTTCCAATCTGTTCATCAGGCCAAATAGGTTCTCCAAGTAATGAAGATAAATTTTGACAAAGTTTCTGATAATTTTCACGTAATACTTCTTGATATTCCTGTTGATCAGATGTAATTAGTTTGCTATTTATTTGAAGAGCTGTGTAACATATTTTAACAAATTCTCTGAAAAAATCGCATAATATGAAATTACAATTTAATAATCAAAAATCAATTTAAAGAAATAATTTCATATATATATTTCATAAAAT